AAAACACGCCCCCTCCCCCCTCCCTCGGTCATTACACTAGGGCATGGACTACCTCCACGGGAAGCGCATCGTGAGTCGGCGGACTGCAGCCGGCGCCTTAGCCGGCGCCCGCGCAAAGGGGGGGCCTCGCCCCTCCCTTCCCGTTGCCGCCCATGCTGCTTGATGCGCACCCCCCTTCTAGAGCAGCTTCCAGGGCCTGGCCTGGATAACACCCTCTCTTGTTTTTTCCTTGACCCCCGGTATGCCTGGATTGAATCGGCACCCCCCTCGAAACCCACCCCCAAACTGCCAACCATCAACCTCCCACATCCGCAAATCAGGTCCACTTTGACCTGAAGACAGCCAACCTGGTGGGTCCAGGGGTCGAGCACATGAGCCATGCATGTCCCATTGCCACCCCCACCTTTTTGGGGCGGGGGGCGGAACGGTGGCCGCATGGGCCACAGCTCCTGGGGGTTGCTGGCAGCAACCCAGCCGGCTCCCCCAGACGCTTACGCCCCCTCCCCCGGTCTGCCGCTGTGCGCCCCTGCTCACACCCTGCCCCCCCGCGCGCCAATCCCTCCCTCTGCGCAGCTCGTGGGCTTCAGGGAGCGCTCCCCCTGCTGCAAGGTGCGCCCCCTCTCCACCGCGCCCCCCACTCCTCCCGAGTGCCTCTTGGGGCAACCCTCCCCCAGGCCGCCGCCGCCGCTGCCGCTGCTGTTCGTCCTTTTCCTCTTGGCCGCCCCCGCTCGCACTAAACAGCGACGCTCCCCCTTGCGGCGCACCTGCGTAACCGAGCAATTCCTCGCAGCTCCGATCGCCCGCGACTGCCCCCACCTCCCCCTCCCTCTCGCAACAAACCCCTCCCCTTGAACCACCCCCCTTCCGAAACCGCCAGGTGGCGGATTTCGGCCTGTCCAAGCAGGTAGGCGCCTCCCCAAACCCCGGCGCCTCGCCCTCGCTCTTGGAGCCTGGCCAGGTCGCCTCGCGCGCGCGCCCTCCTGCCTGCCGCCTTGCTCGCTGCGCTGCTTGGGCCCTGCCGCTCTGCTTTGCCCTGCTCCGCTCCCGCCTCTGCGCTTGGCCGCGTCTTTGCTCAGATGTCGTGAACATCATGACACCGCATCAGCCTTGCCATCTGCCTCGAGCGCTGCGAAAGACCCCACCAACCTGACCACCTGCGCGCTCTCTTTCGTCACATCCTGTTCGTGCCCCGCAGAAGCAGGCCACCTATGTGAGCGGCGTGACCAGCCTCCGCGGCACCCTGCCCTGGATTGCCCCCGAGATCATCAAGACCCCCAAGGAAGTCGACGAGAAGGTGCGGGGAAGCTGGCTGAGATCTGTTGGTCTGGGTGGGTGGGTGGGGCCCATGTGATGGGTCTTGAGTGTGGGTGTACGGTGTGTAAGAGAGGGG